GATTCGAGAAAGACCTTCATTGTGTTTCATTTGATTTCACCTCACGCAAGCATAACACGCAACACTTCGTCCCCATACCTACACGACCACCAGACTGATACACATGTTCCGCGATTTCTCGCTCGCCCCACGCACCGACTCGAGTAGCCATGTCGCCACATTTCCAACAATCCATGCGCGTCCTTGTGAAACGTCTTGCTTGTTCAGTGAAGATATGTGTGTGCGCTTCGGCCTCCGCTAGGCTGGCGAGCAGCAGGCGGATGATGCAGTCACGGAAATTACCAAGGTAGTCGAAATGCTACCCACATCAGGGCCCGCCTACTTTCCCGCTTGTCGAGTTGGCGCGGGTGCTCGGCCATGCAGTTGAATTCGTGATTCTAGAGCGCACATCGAGTCACTGTCACTCTGACTCACACCTCGAGTCACAGGAGCGCGACGTTTGAAGATGAGGCCGGGGGTTTCGGTGTACAGGCCGGTAGGCTATGCACCGCATCGGTAGCAGCGGCCGTAGGTGGAGGGAGCAATCAAGCAGAAGCGTGCCACCCGCCGCTTCCATCGTGCACTCCTCTCAGCCTACATGATGGCTTGTGAGCAGTTTGAGTAAGTGGCAGGCCGCTGGCGCGCCACGTGAGCGTTTTCGCCCCGCTTGATTTTACGACGCGCCACGCCTGCCACCCAGCAGCAGCTTTGCAGACGGACTCACGGCTGCGCACACGATCGACGCACACCCAGCAGCAGGCGCAGCAGATTTTAGCCGCATTCAAATTCAATCGAGTGATCGAGGGGTCGGTCACGAGTTGTGAGTTGAGTCGTGAGTCTGCTTGTGTGGGTGATCCATTCCAGATTGATGCGATGGCATCAAAGCAATGAGGTGATCGATGCCGATTTCACCTGCTCATCAGCGACCTACATCATCCCGATTCTCGCACCTCTCTACAGTCATCGACACAATCGTGGCTATTGTTCTTGGAGTCGCAAGCGTCAAGAAGCTTCATCGAGAGATTCTTTGAGGGTCCATCACCCTTCAATCCGGCTCGATTGGTCGCACGCAAGCGTCACTTCATCACAACCATGTCCTCCACTGCAGATCTCGCTTCTAAGGCCGAGGCGGGCGCCAAAGCGGCAGCAGGAGATCTGGCTGCCAAGGTGGAAGCCGTCAAGCTGGACACCAACGGTACCAATGGAGCAGCAGGCGCTGCGGCTGATTCTGGAGACGAAGAGGACGACGCCGTAGGAGCTACGCCGGCTAGTGGCGATGCTGCCACCGCCGCAAAGAAGAAGAAGAAGTCTGGAGCTGCGAAAAAGAAGAAGCAGGCGGCGAATGGAAAGAAGAGCGTAAAGCAGACTGATCCTCCCACTGTCGGCCTCACAAAGATCTTTAGCGATGGCATCTTCCCCGTCGGAGAGATTCAAGAGTATGATGACAAATTCTACAATGAGTGAGTGGCACTTTACGGGACCGACCTGCTGCCGCGCAGGAGAGTCGGAATGGTAGGGATGAATGCGCGCTGTATGCCTTGCGCGCTGTTCGTCTTGTCGCAGCCGAGTCACTCACAACGACGCTCTGCACTCACAGCAATCGCAAGCGCATCACTGCTGAAGAGCAGCGAGAGCGCGACAGGATCGCACAGCAAGAGGAAGGAGCAGACTTCAACTATGCTCGAAGAGCCGCCGAGGTTCATCGCACAGTCCGTGGCTATGCGCGCAAGGCGATCAAGCCAGGCATGACGATGACGGAGATTGCCGAGCTGATCGAGAATGGTACGCGCACGATTGGAGAGGCCAATGGGCTCGAGAGTGGCATCGGTTTTCCCACCGGCTTGTCTCTCAACGAAGTCGCTGCGCACTACACGCCCAATGCTGGAGATAAGCGCGTGTTGCAAGAGTCGGACGTGCTCAAGGTCGACTTTGGTGTGCACGTCAAGGGCCGCATCGTCGACAGCGCTTTCACCCTCACTTTTGGAGATAGCCCTTGGAACCCTCTGCTCGACGCTGTCAGAAGTGCCACCAATGCCGGTATCCGCGAGGCTGGTGTGGATGCTCGTCTGAGCGACATTGGAAAGGTCATCCAGGAGACCATGGAGAGCTACGAGTTCGAAGCGGAAGGCAAGACGCAAAAGGGTGAGTAGCGGAGCAGCGTTTGATCGGCATGAAGCGCAGGCCGAAGCGCATTGGTACACCTTTCTGAAATGCTGCCTGCATCCGCGCTCGTAGTCAAAGTCGTCAAGAACCTCAATGGTCACAAT